TGAATCCTCCACCACTAAGATTTGAGATTTTACCATTGACCAGAAACTGAACTGGACCAGCCATATTAATACAGGGGCTCCAAGAGCAAGTCAAAGGCTAGAAGTACTGCAGTGAATAACTCACTTTGACTTCCTAAAGCTTGTTCACCATCTACAAGTCATAAGTCAGGAGTATGATGGAATATTCCCCACTTGCCTGGATGGGTGCAGCTTCAACAGCACTCAAGTAGCTTGACACCATCCAGGACAAACCAGCCTTCTTGATTGGTGCAGAAATTCACCAGAGTTCCTTAGACAGCACCTTTCAAACCACAAGCACTTCCATCGAGAAGGACAAGGGCAGCAGATACATGGGAACATTACCACCTGCGAATTCTTCTTCAACCTGCTCAACTTCATGAATTGGAAATATATCATTGTTCCTTCATTATTGCTGGGTCAAGATCCTTGAATTTCTTTCTCCAATGACATGGTGGGTCTATTTACAGCTCATGGACTGTAACAGTTCAAGAAGGGAGCTTACCACCATCTGTTGAAGGGCAACTAAGGACAGGTAATGGATACCCATCCCATGAGTTTACTAAAAAATACTTCATCACTGTGTTCCTGCACTGCTATGTCTGATTGCCCTTCTTAGGCATTGAAAGGAGATAAGCACAAGAGTAAGCTTGTGATCTGGGAAGTTGTATAGACTGAGAAGATCATGACTACACCATCTGCGGCATGAAAATTATAAGTCTTTGTGGAATAAATGGAGGGATAATGTGGAATGAAAAATTGGATGTGAGGATTTGGTCAATTGTAGCATCTCTGCTCATCATGGCCTCCCCACTGGATGCCTCAGGAATGGACAGCCTCTATTTCTCTATGCATCAGCATTTAAAGGCATGTCTTGCCCTCCAGTTTGCTTCCCCTGCTTCCAGCCATGTGCAACCCTGCCCTGTGGGAAAGAAAGAAGTATGCAAGCGATGTCGTTGTTGAATAACTAGCAATGTGCACAAACAGTGGGTATGAGACTGGCAGCAATGCTAATTATGTGAGGATATGATGGGGCATATGAATGTTAGCTTTGAATCTGATTGGTAGAGATTATTTGAAGTTAAATGATGGAGGCTGGTTAACTGCACAGTGGCTGAGTCTAGTGTTGTTGGTACTGTAAAACATTTAAAGATATATGGCTGGATTTTCATGGAAATTGAAGGGGTCCCTGACTTAGCCAAAATGATACTGGAACCCTGAGTCATAGGAAAATAGTACCCCTAGGAGTAGGCTATTCGACTGTTGAAGCCTGCTGCATCATTCAGTAAGACCATGGTCTAAGCTCCACTTCCCTGTTTTCATGCTATAATTCTAAACTCTCTGTTGTATATCACAAACCCAGCACCCACAATTTTCGCTGATGTAGAGCTGCACATTGTCAAACAGTTGAATTCTTCAGTAGTGGGACGTGAAACCATGACTCAGGAGCTTTAGGCATTTGAGAAAAACGTCTAAAGTTGCCAGAAGCCTTTGGAGAGGTAGGGCTTCCTTTTTGAGAGGTGAGGGAGCAGGTCTTTTGGTCTCCCTGAAGTCATTTGCCCTTTAGCAGAGTTGAGGTGGCCTTTGAGATTGTTAAAAATAGGCATGAATATGTGTAAAAATGGGTTAAACTCACTGGAGCTGTCAAGCTGCCAAGACATTTAAATTCCCAAACTCTTTTAAATTGAAAAAAGGCAACAGCCTGCTGCTAACACTTTCAGTTGTCGTTATTGACATAATATGAGGTTATCATTATAGAGTTTTTTTTAATTCTTCTTGTTGAGGTCGTCACTGGCTATGCCAGCATTGAGTGCCCATTCCCAATTGCCCAGAGGGAAGTTAAAAGTCAACTACATTACTGTGAGTCTGGTAGCGGGTGGGTGTGATGGTTTGACGTGCATTGGGACTGTTGGTATAGGTGTTATACATAGTCATGTGGGGTGGGTAGAGGAGCATGAGAAGGCATGAATGGGACATAGCAACTGTGTGAGGGGGTGATAAGAGTAAGGGCTTAGTGAGCTGTTTTTTTGATTTTTCTATTGTGGATGGGGTGGGCGTTTTACATAGCCCCTATGACTATCTCCGCATTCTTTCTGGGGGTGTGACGGGCCTAAAACCATCTCGTGCACCTCCTGCCACTCCTCTGCCAAGTCAGATTAGCAATTAGAACTGTTCCCAACTTTCTGCTCCTAACTCTGGAGCAAAGATCCAGTCCCTACCTATACTCTGACCTTAACAACCTGTCTGAGCTTGTTTTGAATTTCTTGCATTTCTGCTTCGAGATCCTCGGGGTTGGACTCCTAGCATTTGCCTGCATGGCTGTTTGCTCCTTCTACCTTCTGATTGTGTGTCTGCATAGTTCTTCATTCCCACGTGGATTCAGGATCTCTTTTTCCCTTCACCACTGTGAAAACCAGGCACCTATTCTTGTCCTGTATTGTGTTAGGTCAGAAGCAGCAATGCAACAACTTCCAGCACCTGGTCCAGCCATAATGCGTCCTCTCTTTAAGAGATTCAGGCTTTACCTGATGCTGGCTAGCCTTACCTCATATTAACCTTTCAGAATTTTGGGGCCTGTTGAGGCAGGCAAACCTGCACAGTCTTGCTAGTGCTGGCTGCTCACAGCAGGCAGTATGAAGTTGGCATGTTGCCTGCATCATTTTGACAAATATATCCATGATCTCCCCATCTGTGTTCAGAAGCTATCAAATTTAGCACCCAATTGTTTCTAGTTAATGAAAATAGATGTCGGATTGAGCTTAATCCGCATGGATTTAGTGTCTGCTGGAATGCCATATATAGCACTCAGTAGATGAACAACAGTGATGGCCCTTGTATACTAAATGACTAAAAGCCTACCTATGAAGTTGTGTGCTCCATAGGCAGCTTCATCAATTCAAGTCAGTTTGGATTGATGACTTGATACAGGTAGCTCAACTGGGGCCATAAATTCTAATTCTAACAACAAACGTGTTGCAGTATATTCTGTATGGTTGCTGCAACAAAACTTAAACATTTTAGTCAGTATAGTGCTTCAAAAACACCATGATTTTGTAGTCCACCCACACCTGTCAAATCAGGTTTCATGGACAACTAAAATTATGGTAATGGTGAAACTAATGAGTGTTTCCTCATAAAAACTCTTGGTTCAATTACTGTTCTTAAGTAGCCTTTCGAGAACACCACCCTACAATTGACTGTTAATGATGGTAACTCAGTAATGTGGGCTGCAGCACTAATCAAAGAAAAACCTTAATAATCGAGGATGTAGGAATATGTTTTTGCTCAACAATCCTCACGGAACCATTGGAATAATTGTAGGGCCAAGTTTCTGTTAAAGTTAATGATTAGTTTTAGTGTCACTTGCTGGTAAAGCTCCCACACATAAGAACAGACTTTTTCACTGGTTGATTTTCAGTATGATGCTGAGGACTTCCAACCAAAATCGATGGCACATAAATCATGCAGTTTTCTCCTGGATCCTCCAATCTAAACAATGCCAAGTATCATTCATGTCTCATGTCCTTTTGGAGTTTTGAACCCAGCCTGTACTCCTTCATATTTGTCTCTTTCACCTTAATCTCGAAGAGCAACACCAGGTATACCTAAAAATGTGTCAACCTGCTGAAGCTACCAAACAGGACTACTCACCTTTGAAAGGAAGGATATTATTAAATTGGAGAGGGTGCAGAAAAGATTTACCAGGATGTTGCCGGGACTGGAAGTTTTGAGTTATAAAAAGAGGCTGGATGAGCTGGAACTTTTTCACTGGAGGGTAGGAGGTTGAAGGGTGACCTTATAGAGGTTTATAAAATCATGAGGGGCGTAGATAAGGTGAATAGCAAAGATTGCTTCCACAGAGTTGGGGAGTTCATAACTAGAGGGCATAATTTTAAGGAGAAAGAATTAAAAGGGACCTGAGGGGCAACCTTTTCACGCAGTAGGTGGTTCGTATGTGGAATGAACTGCCAGAGGAAGTGGTACAGTTACAACATTTAAAAGACAGGTACGTGAATAGGAAAGGTTTAGAGGGATATGGGCCAAACACACGCGAAAGGGTCTAGTTTAGTTTGGGAAACTTGGTCAGCATGGACCAGTTGGACTGAAGGGTCTGTTTCTGTGCTCTATGACTCTCTGTAGTTCTAACATGACATGAATGTCAGATTTTAACCTCTGAATTTGATTATAGACTAGTTTACTTGATAGACTCTTTTGTGTCAGTTATTGAAGGTCATGCAATGAATGACTTGTATCCAGTTCTCAGCGGGCAAGTGCTCTCAGCTTCTACACAATTGCTGTAAAAAGCTTGGCAGCAATCTCGTGTAATAATTGGAAGTTGCCTTTGCATGAAGTTTGGGGGCTTGCTTTCAATATTGTGAGTTGGGAGGATCAATTGAAGGAGCTGTGTATTATGTTTTGTTTCATAAAAATGCACAGCACTAACGCCTTGATTTCCCATTTCATTGTTCACCTTGATTAACAAACAATATAGCTGTGTGAGGGCAAGCAGGTGCACAAAAGGCAGCAACACAGTGCCCGGTTGTTGTTCTACAGATTTGTATAGGCTTCCAGCTGTTTCAAGTTCTACATATTGATTTTAAAACAGGGAAGAGAAATTTCAATTTGGAAAAATACCATCAAAACAGGAAATAAAAAAGTTAACAACATTTTCCACGGAGCGAATAGATTCTGAGCTAATGAAACTAAAGTGCTAGGTATTGACGAACATATTTCTTTATTTGTTTCAAAGTGAGGGGAAACAGGAAAGTAATCAGACAGAATGAAATGTAGAAAAACAGATCCACAGTTACAATATGTATGCATTAGTAATTCTGATTAGAGTTAGTGAATTCTGGTCAAATTCACCATTTCTTTATATTTATGAATGTCATACATGTCTGGTATCATAATATCTGTGGTAAGAAATGTTTCCTGATCAAAGATGTAACAGCAGTAATATTTTCCCTCTGTGTCTATTACAGAGAGTATGTTTGCAGAAACCATAACTTCAGCACGGCTCAACACAGCACGACTGAATAGTTGCCTTCCTCAGACGAGTCATGACAATGCCAACTTCAATAATAATGAACTGGAGAACAGTGTTGTAGTAGCAAAAATCACAAACCTAAATGTAGGTGAAGTTCAAAGCCTTGCAGCAGACAATCATAATTTACCGTGTTGTACCAACAGACAGCTTCGCTCACGGGGCCTACCGTCCTTCCTCGACACTGACCTTCACTTTCACCATATACGAGGGCCTGACGTCACTCTTTCTCAGGACAGGATGGGCGCATGCACAAACTGGAAGGAGAGTACTAGGACCCTGGTGTTCTCTGATCGACCTTTACATACTGGGGAGACCTTGTATGTGGAGGTGGGGCATTTAGGGTTGCCATATTATGGTGCTCTGCTCTTCGGTGTGACATCATGCGACCCCAGTACTCTGCGAACAAATGAGCTCCCAGCGGATCCAGACTGTCTGCTTGATCGTAAGGAGTATTGGGTGGTGTACAGAGGTTTCTCAGTGCCCAACAGCGGTGATATTTTCAGTTTCACTATTCTGCCAAATGGTGAGCTCCATCATCGTGTTAACGGAATAAACATAGGGATGCTGGTCTTTGTGGACACCACTCAGTCACTGTGGGTATTCTTCAGCTTACATGGAGTGGTCAATCAGCTCAGGATTCTGGGTAAGTAAACTGGTACTTGCTTATTTGTCCCACGTGTCATGCTTATTAGAATTATAGTTACAAAATGGTGAATAAAACATATGTTGAATTTGTTAAAGTATTCTAAACTATAAACGTGAGAAAAAACCCAACAGATAAGGATAGGAAACTTTGCCTGGGCTTCTACTCGTTGTTGTTCAGTGATCCTTTTTTGAAAGTACCATTGTGTGATTGTTAGACAAGGAAATAGTGCTGATCAGTTCAATGATTAACAGATAGTACACATACACAAACCTTCCTCCTGAGCAGTTACTGCAAGAATCAATACCATTAAGACAAAAGCAGAGAAACATTCCTAAGTACTGTCCTTTTCAAACTGTATTTCACAACATACTGTCTGGCTATATTGAAATGAGTTGCATAGAAGAGTAACCCATTGTTTGGAATTAGTATTCTTAAAGACTCTTTAATCAGCTCTTATTGGATTCCATATAGAAATTTCAATAAGCCAACCAACATGTTTTGTTTCAGTACAGCATATATTTTGTGTGTGTTAGTATACTTAATTTTTTTCAGATGTTGTAATGGCTGTGACTTCGATCACCAAATTTTTTGGGAAAGTAATCAACAAAATGTAGGAAGTTTGACTCTGCACAACAGTGGAATAAACACACAGTTTTAATATCAGAATCGCTGAATCACTTAGATTAGTTATCAAATATTCTTGCATAGTAACAGGAAATTTGGCTTTTTAGATTTGTGTTGGTTCTATTCTGCACATGCGTTGCCTAGTTTTGTCCCATCCCCCATATCCTTCAGTAGGCTTGTTTCTTCAAGCAGCTCATCTGTTCCATTTTAATTGAACTAATTGATGGTTGGTGCCTCATCAGTATGTGGGAGAGATGTCAAAAGATGCAAGTGTGATTGATAATCAAGTTTAAAGCCAGAGGAAGCTGGGGGCCCAAGGGAATGGCCCAGTTGCATATAGCTATTGCTGGAGAAGAAAGTTTGAGTCATTACAGGTGCTGCAAGGGAGAAGTAAGTTGGGAGTGGTGTGGTCCAGGGGTACTTTGTGTGGGTCAGGGAACCACTCCTCTGTTGTCCACAGCACAACATTGCCAATGCTTAGCTAAGCTCCAAGATACACTAACGGATTCAGCTCTGCAGGTTGCTGTTTGTACAGCTGCAAAGGGGACTGCTGGTTTTGTTTCATTGACAGTTTTAAGCTTATAAACTTATTATCTTTCCTTGAAATCTCTTTTAAAATTCATATTAGTTTATTTGAGCAAAGTTGTGTCAATTAAAGTTTGTTTATTTTTCCCATTGGTCGTGTTTGTCAAATTTTTTCAAAGAAAAATTTGAATGATTTGTTTCTTATCCATGAGGATTTAAAAGACTTGGCACTCTGATTACATGGTGCATTGACTCTATTCGTAGTGGATACTGTAAAAGTGCTTCAAAGGCTCAACAAATATCAAGTCATAGAATCAATGTAAAAATCAAACCAATGGGCCTCCAACATACAGTCTTAACTGGTTCTCCATACTGTAACATGCAGAAGATGACTTTAGCCATTGTAGAAATTAGGGTATCTGAACCTTTTACATCAATTTAATAGTATCTTGTTATGATTGAGCCCAATGATCAATCCCTACAATAATAGCATACCTTAATAACGACATTTAATTACAACATTTGAAGTTTTCAAGAGTTGTTAATCTTCCTTGTCAAAGGAATCCTGATACCATGGTATGCTTCCCAGGTTACAGACAGATTTACCACAACCTTCAGAAACCTGCCCACCTTGACAAAAATAGCAACCCAAGGGAAAATTGTATTTGGAGAAGGAATTTAAATAGCAAATCCAGCGGCACTTTAAGAGCATGTTGGGTCACTACCTACCATGTTTCCACTCCCAAGGCAGTTGTCAGGAATCAGAGGGCAAGCATGAAATTTCAGTTCCACATGCCTCTCATTTGGTCCTTGTCATGCAGGTTTGCTCAGTATTTGATATTGACATTTCAGCTGATGGCCTCACCATTTAGGACTGAGATAAGGAGAAATTTCTTCACCCTAAAGGGCTTTGTACAATTGAAATTCTCAACCTTGGGGATCCATGGATGCTCATTCATTGGGTATATTCAAGATTGAGGTTTTGGATTGTTAACGGATTCGGGGGATATGAGGATAGACAGGGAAGCTGGAGTTGAGATGGAAAAGCAACTGTGATCTTAATGAATGTTAGAGCAGGCTTATTTTCTGCCATTCAATCATCTTTCTATCTCATCAGCCACATTCCTCAATCATTTAATGTGCCATTATTTTTCCATAAATTTTTTATTGTACTGAATCGTTTTTTTTTGACATTCTTCATTGATCGCATTCATTACTCCTAAGTGCCCTCTGTTATCTATTCCAGGAATTCTTTATGGTTGATCAAGCATTACCTGCCTTTGAGAAATTTAGTAATTTTGATATGTGATAAACTTCAGTAATTTACCAAGAACTGGAGTAAAGTTAGCTGGCTTCGGTTATCTTCCATTCCTCTGACACTATTTTGCATAAGAATTTTGAAAAACTATCATTAGCCTTCTCTATTTCACCCAGAGTTTCCCTCAAAATCCTTCAATGTAAACCAGCAGATCCTGGTAATTTACTTACTGTGAGCTTTGATAACTTCTTATGACTATCTTTTTGAATAATAATCTTCACTGAGGCAGACTACTTATTCAATCTCTGTCATTATCTCGCATTCAACTACAAGCTTCATGCTTTACTACAAACTCTTATTGGGTCTACTCCTGCCTTGTATATCTTCTTACTTATATTATTTCTGTAGAATTTTTTTTATTCTTCATGATTTTAGCTCATTTTCTCTATGTCACCATCATTTTCTACCCCCAAAGGTTTCAAGAATAGGAGTAACTAATTAAATCCAGGTTGATCTCATTGCATGCAAATTCTGTTTTTTTCCTCTCTGTAGAAAAGTACACAATTGCTCCTTGATGTATTTTATACTATTTCCTTCAATGGCCTTGCTTGATAAATTATTTCATGAATATTGTACTTTACACAAAATGCCATTTCTCTATTTTGATTATCAGTTTTTCAAACCATGAGCTACTTACCACTCTGAGTATAACCATTTTCCTTTTCTGATCTTGGAAACATCAGTTAGGTCACCTTGAAGTTTTCTCTTTATCTGTTTTCTGTTGCTTTGTACACAGACCATTTTATTTACCTATCTGCTCTTCCAACAAACAGAGGAAAGTTGGAAATTAGTGGTTAGACAACTCATCAGGTTTTAGATGACTTGAGACCAGTCCTTTGAAACTTAAAATTGTACTGTAAATTATTTTGAAGAACATTCTGTCTCTGTGTCCATTGCTGTAAAGTCAATTGATATTGAAGAAATTCTCAGCAACAGCATAAATTACTAAAGACATTTTGGTAGTGAATTTCCAATAAGTTATCTGAGTTATACACAAAAGCATACAGTGCACTTCAATATTAATTAGTGTCATTTAAGATATCAGTCTTCTATGAACGAGACTTGGAAAAAATTGTTCAAAATATCATGGTTTTCCAATCCAGCAATTTGAAAATGTAATTTAAAATTAACTGAAGATCTAAGCTTCAATTTTCTATGCACGTTTTCAGTGTTCATTGAAAAACAAATATTGACTACTGTACTGGGGAGATCTTTCCTACTGTTCAAAATAGTCTAATGGAATCTTTCCAGTCCACCTAAGAGGGTAGGAGGGACCTCAGTTTAATGTTTCATCCAAAATATGTCTCCTTCAACAGTGTAGTACTCCTTCAGTATTACAGTGGAGGTACAGCCTAAATTCTGTGCTGAAGTCACTGAACTGTAACTTAAACTCAACTTTATGATTCAAACGTGGAAGTGCTGCCACAAAAACATGGTTGATACTAATGACAGATTAAAGAGATTCGACACTTGTGAAGCCACAAACGTTTCTTGTAAATAATTTAATAAATAGGCTCTACATCCTTCCATAAGGAAACAGAGAGACAGGACATCGGTTTTAATGTAATCATAATAAGGGGACCTCCAACATTGCCAGACTTGTGGAAGTGAAGAATTATATAGTTGAAAAAAATTAAGTCAGTTTGTATAATGAAAGACCTATTGATCAAGTTAATTAAATAGCGGATGCTAAAACCAAATATATGTGTGACAAACAAAAGGAATATAATGTTATAGAGTTTGCCTTTTAGTGCTGTCACAGATTTCACTTCTGTTTAATGATAGATACAAAATATGATTTGAGGGGGTTTAGGATAGATGTTAACTGATACATTGGGGTTTTTCCCTGAGATTAATGTGAAGGCATATTCACTTGAACATAGTAAAGAGCATCTCAGTCTTCATCTGGCCATTCTGTATTTGGTCTTGGATTGGTGACCTAAGACTCAGCAGCAAAAGCCATTCAGCCCAATAAGTCTACTCAGCCATTAATGAGATTGTAGCTTATCTGAAAATCCTCAACTTTACTGTCACTTCCCCGTAAACATTGATTCCCTTACAGTTCAAAAGTCTGTCTATCTCATCCTTGAATATGCTTAATCACCCAGCCTCAACAGCCCTCTGCAGTATGGAATTCCACAGATTCACAACCACCTGAAAGAAGAAATTCCTACTCACCTCTGTTTTAAATGTGCAACCCTTTATTATTCGATTATGCCTTCTGGTCCTAGACTCTCCCACAAGGGAAAACAACCTTTTCACATTCACTCTGTCAAGTTCCCTAAGAATGTTATGTTTTGATAAGGTTACTTCTCATTCTTCTAAACTCCAACGAGTACAGGCCCAATCTACTCAATCTCTTCTCATAAGACAATCCCTCCATACCCAGTGTCAGTGTGGTGAATCTTCGCTGGACAGCCTCCAATGCCAGTATATCTTTCCATAGTATTCCAGCTGTGATCTGACTAGTACATTGTATAGTTTTAGCAAGACCTCCCTAAAATTATACTCCATTCCTTTGAAATGAAGACCAACATTGCATTTGCCTTCCCTATTATTTGCTGAACTTGGATGGTAGCGTTTTGTGTTTCATGGATGAGGACTCCCAAATCTCTGTTTCATAGCTTTCTGAAGTCTTTCTTCATTTAAATAATAATCAGCTCATCTATTCTTCCTGCCAAAGCTCATAACCTCACATTTTCTCACATTATATTCCATCTGCCAAGTTTTTGCCCACTCAAACTGTTTGTATCCCACTGCAGACTCTGTGTCATCCTCACCACTTGCCTTCCCACCAATTTCAAAGTAAACCTTTATTTCCAATACATTTATGATCAATAATTAAGGATAAATAGAATGGATATATTTTCATACCCTCAGCTTATGTTAGCAATGAGTACTAAATATAGTTTGAATTGCTTTAGGATCAATATAAATTTCTGTTTACCTCTGCTTTATGAAATTACGTTACAATTATGTCACAATACAGGAAAATAAACACTTAATATGTGCATTGGCATTGGAGTTTATATCATGGCAATGCTCTTGTGCATGTTGAAAACAACAACAATAATGTGCACTGAAATGGAGTGTGCTCTGTGGAGTTAACAGGCTTTAATATTCCATCTGCAGGTACGTCTCAGTCCAGTCCTGTAGATGTATCTCCTTCAGGTTCTCCGGGTGGTTCCCATTATGACAGTGACTCTGACATGGCATTCAGCGTTAATAGATCCTCCTCTGCATCTGAATCATCACTTGGTAAGGAAATACATTAGACTGTTTGCATGAAAACACTAAGCCAAGTTTTCTGAAGCAAAAACAGAAATTGCTGGAGAAATTCAGCAGGTCTGGCAGCATCTGTGAGAAGAAAACAGAGTTAATGTTTCATGTCTGTTGACTCTTCATCATTTTGCTTTACTTAAGCCAAGTTTTCTGTGATTGAGAAACATGAGATTTTGCTGTAGCTGTTTGAATTAATTATGTCGTATTGGGAACAGATTGAACATGTGTGTGTTATTTCATACTTGGACAGGTTTCAATTTCAGCCCTGACAGATGGAAGAAACCTTATTATGCACCAGTTGTAAGGTCCTATTCAAAATAATTTTGGTTGGTCTCAATTCATTTCCTAACGAGCACAGTTCCATAGCACCATATGTCATTCTATACGCTTGAGCTGCAACACTCAAATAACAGAAAGATCGTTGCTGGAAGAAAAGGAAAAAATCACACTTTGAACTAGAAGGAACTCTTTCAGGGTTAAGGTTAAACACATTATTGGAATTGAGTGGAGGGAAGTTCAGGTTGGTTGGTGGTTGGTAAAATGAACTGTGAAAATATGCCCCATATCCCAGTACGGAAATCCTATCATTATGATGAACACAATAACTTAGTTAATTAATTTGTGACTTGGCAAACTTCTAAACCACTACGCTTTGGAGAGTGTGACTGTTTACCTACAATTTCAAGCAGCCTTCTAATCTTATCCACACCATCAATAGCTAGTGCTGAAGTGAAGCTGATGGCCACCTCGCAGAAGTGACTGTGAATAAAGTACCTGCCTCAGGAGTGGGAGTTTATCTTCTAAATTACATTGAGAAGTTAGTATCAGAAGTGTCACGACTCCAGGTTATAGTCCAATAGGTTTATTTAAAATCACAAGCTTTCATAGCGCTGTTCCTTCGTCAGATGAAGTGACTTCCAACCCCAGCATCTCCACATTATGACAAGGTAGTGTTTTTATCATTAACACTTTAAAGTGGTGATCTGACAGAGGTTCCCAGGATGATAAGATAACTAAGAGGTTGTTTCCACTGATTGGTGAATTAATAATGAGGGAACAAATGCAAGGAACAACATTGTATTTTTCCAAAGGGAGGTAGAATTACATGCCTTGTTTTCAAGAGATGCAAGTTCTACCTGAGATGTACAGACTCACATGATTTTCACTGCTGGCAGTGGGTAGCTGCATCTATGCACAATGAGGTACCATGGGCACGTGCTGTAGATCTGCATTCAGAACTGGGCCTGCATCCAATATCCTGGATTTGGCTTTTATGATAGGAGCTTTCTAACAACCCACACCAGTATTCCTGCAGAAAAGACAGTGGTAAAATAGAAATAGGGTCGCTGCGCCCTTGATTACCTGGCATTGCAGAAAATGTCCCCAGAATGTAAACACCCCTCAAAAAATGGGTTAGGAATCTTGCATTCTGTCTAGCTATGCCGGCTCCAATCTATGGATGCACCATTCTTGTCTCTTTACCTTTGACTTGCACCACAAAACATTTTTCTTATAATCCCTCCTGACCTCTGCCTTACCACTGACCTTTTTTCTCCTTTTCTCACTTCCTCTTTCACTTGCTCAAAATCTATTGCCTCTCAAATTTTCTCAGTTTTGATGAAATGTCATTAGATAAGTACCTCACAACCTGTACACGTGTATGAAATACTATTAAGTATTAACTGAAGAACAGTAACGTGTATTACTGTTGCATATTGATATTGAACAGGATAGCCAACACTCGAAAATTGGAGACAACAGGTCCTCTCAAGATCCAAAGCTGACCTCCAATTGTACTGTAATATTCTTACCTCATTGAGAGGATCTTGTTGACAAATGTTTTTGTTCTTACGCTAATTAGAATGAGCTTCAACATGGGGCATTTACACACCTGATACTTTGCTCACACCAAGCATTAAACTCAAAATGTCATTGCACATGTCATACACATGATTGATGTATGTGCTATACCACTTTGAATCAGCACAAAAGGTTCAGTTTCATCTCATAACTGGCCGCAGTTAACAAGTAGAGTGGCATGTCCGACCCAAACTGAGGTTCAATCCTTTATATTGCCTGCAAAAAATTGCATTTGGCCAAAGCAGTATAAAAATGTTTTCAGATTTTCCATTTTTTGGCCAAATGGGTTTGATTCTAATGCACCTACTTATTATGTAACTGACATCACCCCAGTATGGATATGAAGATGTTGCAAATTTTTACACTTTATTTTGAAATGTGAACACAAAAGCTCTCAAGATGGCTACACTTTCACTTTTTGCATTTAAGCAGTAGACAGTAGATTCTGTTGCCTGTACCTGTTAAGTATGGACCTGAGTGAAAGAACTTATCAGTCACCTGTGAACTGCACATTTCCTACTGTTTAAGGATGGATCAGCAACAAAAAGGAAGTATAACATTCTGAGCGACTTGACTTTCTGTTTCTTAATTGACAAAGATATGTTGAAATTCAATAGGTATTAGCTAGCTGTGTAGTGGATCCCTTTCACCTTTCATGATATTGTGATGGCCTGCATTATGACCCTCCTCTGGAAAACCTCAGCATCACAGATGCTAGTCTTTAGTCAATTCGATTCACTGCAAATAATATCAAGAAACAGTTGGAGACATTGGATATTGCAAAGAGTATGGGTCTGACAACATTTCTGTAACAGTCCTGAAGACTTAAGTTTCAGAAATTGCTCCACGCCTAGCTAAGTTGCTCCAGTATAGCTACACTGGTTTCTACCCAACAATGTGGAAAATTGCCCAGTTATGCAAACACGATACGACTAATTACTGCCCCCTTAGTCCACTCTGGATCATCAGAAAAATAATGGAAGGTGTTGTCAACAGTGCTATCAGGCAGCTCATGCTTGACAATAATCTGCTCTTTGATGCTCATTTTGGAAATCACCAGAGCCACTCAATTTGTGACCTTATGACTGCCTTAGTTCAAACATGGACGAGAGATCTGAAATCCAGCGTTGAGGTGAGAATGTCTGTTTTTGACATCAAGGCCACATTTGACAGAGTGTGGTATCAAAGAGCACTAGGAAAACTGGAGTAATTAGAAATTACTTGACATCATCTGAGTGGCCCACTTGATTAGCACCACATCCACACTTTCAAACTTCTCATCACCAACGCTCAGTTGCAGCATGTGTACCATCTACAAGGTACATTAAATTCACCAAGGTTCCTTAGAAGGTACCTTCCAATCCCATGACCACTACCATCTCGAAGGACACGGGCAGCAGATACATGGGATACCACCAACTGTAGTTCCCATCCAAGCCACTCACCATTCTGACTTGGAAACATAGCGTTGCTCCTTCAGTGCCACTTAGTCAAAATCCTGGAACCCCCTACCTAATAGCATTATGCATCTACCTAGACCGAATGCATTGCAGTGGCTCAAGAAGGCAGTTCACCAGCACATTCCCAAGAGCAGCTAAGGATGGGAAATAAATGTGGTCCAGCTAATGAATGAATAAAGAAATCTAACAAAGTCCTTGGCTGCTTGAAACTCTCAAGGTGTGAAATGCCATAAGACAGGATGTTTATCATCCTAATATACCGCTTATTTGAAAAGGGTTGCTGACCTTGTAACATGATCATATGGATGTGACAGCCACATTTGTTGCCTGCTTTGAGGATGGAAAGAAGTTGTTGTGGAAGCAGAGATACAATCTGAAAGCCATCGAATCAGCTGCAGTCAACAAAGCAACCACAGTAAATAAACAGTAATACCATGAACTCAGGAATAAGATTCTCCCTAAACTGGTTAACCTCAAATTCACCTGAGGAAAATAACTTTCTTACTGAGAACTCACAGCTTTTCAAGTCCTGTCCTCCAACCAAAGTATTAGCTCATCTAAAAACTACAGGCTTGCTATGAAAGAGACACAAATAAACCCAAGTTGTAATTGTATTTTTTTTTCCTTTTCGTGTGTATGTAAACTTTGTGTGAGTGGTTTTGTGTTTGACAGTTAATTTGCATCTTTAAACATCCAGGGAAATTGTTGGATAATAAATAACCTTCGTTATTTTTAAACTCACAGAAATATGTTGCTCAATTTATTTAAATTGGGATAAATCACTCTGAGGGGAAGAAAGCATAGACCCATATACAAAATACTTTGATAATGGACAATAAGGAAACAAGTTCTGTTCGTAACATTGACTTAATTCACTCAGTTTCAGAATCTAAATAATAAATTGTTAGTACAACAGTACATGTTACATTCAATTACACCTCTTTTTATATGTCTGATTGATTCCCTTTCAAAATTCTCATGCACATTGCAAAACACTCAGCCAACAAAATCTTATGTTTCTGACCAAAGTTCTATATGTTTTATGTGGTGAAACCATAACATAAATTGTAAATCTTGCACATGTCTGTCTGCTTCTACTGTAAACCGGCTTTAACAAAAGTGCCCAAGTGCAGGTTAGCAGAAAAAGAACCACAAGTCACAGGAAATCTCCCATTTGTAACTGAAAATACTTAAAAAAGCAGCTGCTGATTTTAACAACAATTATTATCAGCAATTGACATTGCCAACAAAATTAAAATTGTGCAGAAGCATGATTCTTCTGTCCTGATTAAGCAAAGAAAGGAAACCTATATTTGTACTACTAGAGAATCCTGCTGTATGTTAGGGTGTCATTTAAAATGCTCATTGATGGCTTGTTATTTAGACAGAAATAGACACCAAGGCCAAAGGACATGCTCGATGTCATGGGAATTTTATAACAGATTATAATAACGCCAAAGTGAATTTCCTGAACGATAGCAGGTTAAAAGGAGTTCATTCAATGATGAAGGGGAGATGCATGAGTGCCATCTAAAGGACAGTCTGCAATGAGTTTTGTTTGTTGTCATCTCAGCCTTTATTCCTACTTATTTTAAGAAATCTCTATTTTACTGAATTAACATAGATACATATTGTTTAATTATTACAAGAAGGTAATCCCTACTGTGGTTTGCATTGTCCTTTTGAAGACTAGCAGTATTCACTTACTGCTCACTATACTTCCAAATATTGTCATCTGCAAATTTTGAATTGTGTCCTGCACATCCAGGCAATTAATATATATCAAGAAATTGTAATAGTCCTAGTACAGACACCACCTCGGGAATAGCAGTGTGGTGTATACCTTCCTACAACCAAGAAATAATCATTCCAATTCTGTATCCATGCAGCAACTATCCCTTTTTATTCCATTACTTTCAATGTTGAAAGCCTATTGTATGGCATTTTATTAAACATCTTTTGGTAGCCCATATTCACATCAGCTACATTAACTTCATCAGCCCTCATTGATATAGCATCAGAAAATGCAATCAAATTAGGGGCATGTGGTTTCTCTTTAACAAATTTGTGCTGATTTCCCTTAACAAATCTACAGTTTTCCAAGTTACTGTTAATTTTTGTCCCTGATTTGCAATTCTCCTGTTCCCTGGCACAGTATTGGAAGAGATGCCTGTAACTTTCCTTAGATTTCATGGATGAATCCCATTCAGTAGCATTGAGTCATTAACTTTAAATATAATTAGCCTTTCTAGTATGTCCTCTTTAACAATTTGTAGACCATCCAGTATCTGAAATAACACTTCCACCACAATAACTTTGGCAGCGTTTTTCCTCCTAGGTAAAAGTGAATGTAAAGTATTCATTTGGTACCTCAATCATGTTCACCGCTGCCATGCAGAAATCTCCTTTTTTTGTTGCTAAACAATCCCAACAATTTCTTACTATCCTTCTACAATTCACATTCTCAAAGAAGATGTTTAGTTTACCTTATGTAATAGCTACAGGAGGTTTTAGGACAACTTTTAGTAATCATATACAAATTAAAATATAGACGATCTGCATGTTCCAAGCATTACATTAAGCATCAGTTCTACATGGTAAGGTGGGATTGCTTTTCTTGGAAGGAGAAAGTTTAGAGGAGAGTTGATGGAGATTTACAAAGCTATGAGAGGTCTGAGGAGAGTATTCAAAAAAAACTATTCCTATTGGTGAAAAAATCAAAAATAAGAGGGAACAGATTTAAGGTAATTGGCAAGAGAAGCAATGGTGACATGAGAAAACATGCTGTGTCATGCAGAATGTGATTGGGATCTGGAATGCCAATGCTTGAGAGGTTAGACGAGGTAAATTAAACCAAGGCATCTAAGAGGAAATTGGAGTATTATCTGAAGTGAATTGTAAGAACGTGCAGAGAAGTAAACCAGGGTAAATTGCTCCTTCAGAAACCCAGCACAGTAATTATGCAATGAATGTCTGCCTTCTGTGCTGTAGCCACTCTGTGATAAGTTACAAATTATTCGGTCTTATTTTTTTTCAATCTTCTTTGTGCTTTAGTCCCGTTAACCCCACTAACTGAATTCTACAGTACTAGAAGTTAGCTCACAATAATTAGTTATAGGCAATTAAAAAATGCACACTGTAAAACGCTTACTTCAACCTATTACTGTAATGTAAGAAAATGCATTATGAATGGGTGCTGTATGTTGACTTAAACATACAAGGTAGGTTCTTGGATTAACTAGCTTTTGTTGATTTCTTCCTTTAATTCTTAGTAACCAATAGTGTACATTATTTTTCATAAATATTTGCATCATTCTTGGATAAGGAATGATATTTGGCAGCACTACACAGTGTTGTCAAAAAAATGTGTATGAGCATTCTCAAAATGGAACCATGCACAGCCCAGAAACAAAAAAAGGAACAAGAGTCATAACCATAATCATAAGATGAGGTGACAGTCACGAAATATCTTAAGTCAGGTGCACATTTCAGAATTTTACAACATTTAAATTCAACAGAATAAAACAATTTAACTCACTTAATGGTCACATATACATGAATTTTTATATTAAGAAATTACACAGGTTTGAAACAGCGTGACCAATATGACCATTTGTTTGCAGTATTAATTCACAATATTTTTGCCATTTAGAAATGTAATAGATGTTACAATTTATAAAATAGAAGACTTTCAAGTTAAATCTTTCTTTTATTTGTAATATCAATGAGAGTGTAATTTCTTTTGTCTGTTCAACTTTTGCAAACTGCCTTTTTGGTCGGCAATGTACACCATATACTAAGGATACATGCTATTCAGTGTTGTTTTGTTGTCTGTTTTGGGATGTCAATTGATGCTTTTCCTGTTTTCCACAGTGACTGCACCCAGCTCTCCCCTGAGCCCTCAGTTCTCCCCAAGTTTCTCTCCGCCTGAACCACCAAGTAGCAAAAATGGAGAATGTGCCGTATGCTTCGACAGTGAAGTTGATACTGTTATTTACACCTGTGGACATATGTGTCTCTGCTACGACTGTGGTCTTAAGTTGAAGAAGCAGATCAATGCCTGCTGTCCCATCTGTAGGCGAGTTATAAAGGATGTCATTAAGATATACCGTCCATGAGATATTTGGCTCCTATAAGGACTGTTTCTCAATCCACACTATAGTTTTTAAAAAAAAGTAGAGTTTTTATGGATATGGAAAGCTTCTATTGCTCACTTTAATTTCAGTTATATACACAAAGTGTGGCTGTATTCTTTGTCATTTAACTTAGTTTCACTATCTCTTTATTTGTCTTCCCCCTTTCTGTCTCTGTTCCTGCTGTCTGCAGATATTTGCTGGCAGGAAACTGGGATGGCTGCACACAGTTCCACCTGTAGAAACAGAGCCACTTGATAATTAACAAGTATTTCTCAAGCAGAGAAATTTGGAGACCATCTCGTAGCCAGGCTGAATACAGGTTAATTAATCTAGCTAAAATTAAGCTGTTCAGTTGAAGAGCAATATTCTTCTGATTTCTTTTGCTGTTCTGTCATTGCTTCAAGAAAAATACTAGTCATCAACAAAGACCAAATAATTTGAGAAAGAAAGATATTCTGTAAGGATATCTCAAGATCACATCTATGACAATATTTCTAATGACTTACTATTGGCAGGTTATTTTCCACAGGCAGTTATCTATTGGTCTGCAGGGGTCAGTAATGGAATTCTCTCCACATATTCTCCACAAAGACTGATATTATTGCATCTGCTTCATGCACAACAGCCTGTGAAGTTATTTAGAGAGATCTCAATTGCCACATTCAATTAAGACATCATAGTTGCCTTTAAAGTACATTTTAAATTTAATCTGAAGATAATGTACATATTTCTAACAGATTAGTTCATGTCTAATTGCTGTTGTGTTGTGGATGCGACGTGCATGCCAAAATTGATAGCTGGTGAAGGATCCCCAAATTGAGAGCTATTTTGTTTAAGTTTTCTAAAACATCAAGCAGTGACTTTGCTGAAGGAATTGGGGAGCTTGACGGGTTCAATATAGTGACTGGAAGTTGTAGTATCCCTTTTTGGCACAAATTCAATAACAATAAAATGTAAACGCATAACAGTGACTGTAAACAGGACCTTTTATTCAAAAAAAATCTTGTTTTATTACTTGTTTAAAAATTGGTCCTTTTTTGTTCATCTGCTGATTGGGTCATCTCACAAGTTTTTGGTTCATTACCAGCCGTTTTGGTCATACTCCTCTGTAAAAACAGCTTAAGAGTCTCAACTTGTCATTTTTGATTGAGATCTGCTTCCCTGTAATCCATGAGTCAGGACATAGTAGTCCATTCCATGAATTTGAAAAAACAGAAAAGAGTGAGGATGAGGAGAGGAAGGCCCAAGAGAAGGTTGGCTCCAGTAATCAAATTTTTAATTGATTCATATGTTTCAGAGTCTTGGCTAACATGCCATCAAAGAGATATTGCAACTTTAAAATGGCTTTAACAAGTAGAAGTTTTATGCTGGATATTTTTCTGTGGTGATTCAATGCTACAGGTGCCTTACATAGGAAGGTGATGCACTTTCTGATTCCCCGTGAACTTTGACTGCCACTATTATAGATTCACTGACTAATGGCAAAGTAGTTTTATAGGACTCACGTGACAACCACAAAAAATATTTTCCTTTTGATAATGGAGTGAAAATGGTATCTAACACAAATATATTTAATATCTTGCCTAATTTGCTGACTTTGTACAAAAATAGTATATAGTTTCGTTAGAGTATTGTTTCAATATTGAAGATGATGGCTCATACTACAAATGTCAACAGACACTTTGTACAAACTTTGCTCGCAATATATAGTGTAAACATTATAATTTTTTTTGCACTTAAATGTTTTTTGTTGTCCAGGATTTGAGTGTCTGTGTGCGTGTACTTGCACTGTGACTGAAAAGATTAATAGATGAGTTACAAAAGAGGAAATGAGATGCAAATTTGAAATTAAAGGTTTGAGTGTACCTTTCACCAAGGCCTAACAGGATTGACAATCAGAACTGGCAGAACGTCTCTTTAAATAGTTCATAACAAGATTTGGTAACACATTCTTTTAAGGAGATATGAACAAGTGTCCAATAAATCTTTGAATAGTTTATCAAACTCAAATTAAGATTTCACTATATAATTTAATTGTCTTTTACTCTTCATTTGCTTTTGTTTTCTACTCAATTTTTATTTCTTCTGTTCCATCCCAACACCCTTTATCCATCCAATATTACTCTCAACTTTGTAATTATCTTTTTGACCGTTCAAGTTCAATATATCTTTCCATTATAGTCTCGGCTTATTTATATGTGTCCATAGACTATTGAATTTGTAGAGCACCTGATTCTGCCCTTGACCTGTTAAAGGTTTCTACAGACAAAATCTTGTGGAAGCGACGAGGTTTTCATCTGCAGACTGGAGAATGGCTAGGATTTCTCTGTCTTCTCTTTTCAGGAAAACCATCCAGTCTGGCACTTAACAGAGCAGGGCCAGGCTTTTCCCTGAGATCAAAGACCACAGGGGTGGATGGCCTGCTTGCCAAGAGCTACTGGCCAATCAGATTCCAGCAATCCTATTGAACTCTGCTGTCTAGTACAACCACCCAAGGATTGTCGCTGGACCTCTGAGTAGATGTGAGTGATGGCAAGTGATGGGCTTGTGGGGATAGTTTGGGATTGGGGGAGTCAGCATCAAATGCAGGGAAGAGGCTCCCTACTTACTGATGTCACATATCCCAATCAGCCATTGGGCACCTTTGAATGAAGTGAATAATGGTGAGTCTGCAGTCAAACAAACGTGCCTGGGCTTATTTGTCATACTCCTAACACAGCAATCCCATCTCCCACTCCCTCACAACACTACCACTAGCTGCTTGGTTAATATCAGCAATTTTTTTTTCTTTATTCATTCACGGGTTGTGAAGTGTCGCTAGCTAGGCAGCATTTATTGCCCATCCCTAATTGCCCAGAGGGCAGTTAAGAGTCAACCACATTGCTGTGGGTCTGGAGCCACAAGTAGGCCAGACCAGGTAAGGATGGCAGTTTCCTTCCCTAAAGGGTATTAGTGAACCAGATGGGTTTTTCCCGACAATCGACAATGGGTTCATGGTCATCTTTAGATTTGGAATTCCAGATATTCATTGAATTCAAATTCCATATCTGCCATGGCAGAATTTGAACCCAGGTCCCCAGAACATTATCTGGGTCTCTGGATTAACAATCCAGCGATAATACCACTAGGCCATTGCCTCTCCATGATGCAGTAATGCGACAATGGGGCAGAATGGCGACAATGGGGCAGAATGGCCCATGTATAGATGTAACTAGAGTGAAGCTGAGAGGATAGAATGAAATTATCCATTGCTACCAAACCTGTCATAGCAGAGGGCACAAAGTCCTGCCCCATATTCTCATAGTTTTAGCTTGTCACTGCTTAGAAATAAACGAAGGAGACCTTCCTTTAATATAGGATGTTCATAGGTTGTGAGCCTCCCCAGTAATTGCCATGGAGAGGTCATGGTGAGCTGCCTTCTTGAACGACTACAGTCCATTGAGTGTTTGTACACAAACCGTTAGGAAGGAAGTTCCAGGTTTGTGATCTAATGACAGTGAAGGAACAGCGATATAGTTCCAAATCAGAAAGGAATGTGATTTAGAGAGAAATTTGCAGCTGATTGTGTTAACTAAGTCCTTCTAGGTGGTAGAGGTTATGGGTTTGGAAGATGTTGTCAAAGAGGGCTTGGTGAGTTAGACCAAATATAATATCAATATATCAAAAATAAATCAAACTTTACCTCAATGCATGGGGAGGTCTTTAAACAGTGTGTAGAAAGCATCTGCCTAAAAGCATGTACCAGAGAGGTAGATAATGAGATGTATCACATTGAGGTGTTGGCACTCTGAGAAATGAGATAAAACCTTGCCCCAGTATTTTGGGTTTAGTGTACAGAAAGCAAAGAGACAGGGAATATTGCAGTGACTCAATACCAATATGAAGAACGTGTTCATTGTTTTTACCAGATTTTAAAGAATTAAGGACAGAAAATGTTTTTGAATAGCCCTGTCATAACCTCAAACTGTGAATCAGTTTGGGCATCCTATGAAGTCTTTTGAAATGTAGTAATAGTTGTAATGTAGGAAATATGTTAATTTGTGTAGTGAAAGGTTTTGCAGACAATGGGATAAAACCAGATACCATGTCTTTGATGGTATTGGCTAAGGAATAAATATTGGCCAGGGTACCAGAAGAAATCCCTTGCTCTTCTTCCAATAGTGCCCTGGGGTGTTTTTCATTCATCTGAAAGGAAAGATTGGACATTGGTTTAATAAGTCATCTGAAAAGTAGCACTCCAACATTACTGTACTGAAGGATTGATCTATATTATGGACTGAATGTAATTCTGGTGGTGGTTCACCATAAAATGGTGAGACTTGTTGGGCTCACCCCATTGCAATTGAAAGTCCAAGGCAGGATCCTTCATTATTCCCCAAAACCAGGTCCTGTCTCAGAGAGCTGCCAGCTAACAGCAGGGATGGCAGATTTCATGTCCCATTAATGGTGGAACACAGCTCTGAAAACAGAAGAATGAGAGGAAGGCCTTTAGCATCAGAAGTAGGATCAGACCCCAATGAGGGGCTTGGGGAGACATGTGTCATTGGAAAGGAATGGCCGCACCTTAAGGTGTGCCCGCCATTTGTCATTGGATGTCCATCAAAGGCACCAACTCCCTCAACCCAACCACCAGCCCGGCAACAAATCTTGTCAGGTTTTACTTGGAAGCCTGGTGTGAGGCATTGGCCTCTCCTGGTGCAGGTAAAATCCCAATGTCAGTGGGAGGAGAACACTTTGTGACCCAAGGGCAAATTTATTGCTTCACTCCTCCTTGGCAAAATTGTAGTGGCTGTGTCCATAAGATCATAAGACATAGAAGCAAAATTAGGCCTTTCAGCCTATCGAGTCTGCTCTGCCATTGAATCATGGTTGTTATGTTTCTCAACCCACTCACCTGCCTTCTCCCTGTAACCTTCGATCCCCTTACTAATCAAGAATCCAGTCTTAAATACACTCAATTACTTGGCTTCCAGTCTTCTGTGGCAATAAATTCTACAGATTCACCACCCTCTGGCTGAAGAAATTCCTCCTCATCTCAGTTCTAAAGGGTCACCCCTTCACTCTGAGGCTGTGCCGTCAGGTCCTAGTCTCTCCCGCAAGTGGAAACATCTTCTCCATGTCCACTCTATCAAGTTCTCTCAGTACTTCCTTCCTTAGACACGGGGCCCAAGACTGCTTATAATATTCCAAATCCACTCTGACCACAGCCTTATACAACCTCAGCAGTACAGCTCTGCTTTGTGTTCTAGCCCTCTTGAAATGAATGCCAACATTGCATTTGCCTTCTTAACTGTCAGCTGGAACTGCATGTTAATCTTAAGAGAATCCTGAACCAGGACTCCTTAGTCCTTTTATGCTTCAGATATCTGAAAGCCGTTCTCCATTTAGAAAATAGTCTATACCTCTGTTCTTGGTACCAAAGTCCATAACCTCCCACATTGTATTCCATCTGCCACTTCTTACCCACTCTCCTAGCTTGTCCAAGTCCTTCTGCAGCCTCCCTACCTCTTCAGCAATACATGTCCCTCCACCTATCTCTGTGCCATCTGCAAACTTAGCAACATTACCCCTCAGTTCCTTTATCCAGATCGTTAATGTATGATATAAATAATTGTGATCCCCACACTGACCTCTGAGGAACTCCACTAGTCACCAACTACTATTGTGAAAAAGACCCCTTTATCCCCATTCTCTGCCTTCTGCTAGTCAGCCAATCCTCTATCCATACCAGTAGGGCGGGATGGTTACTCAGTGGTACTACTACCTCACTGCAGCAGGGACCTGGGTTCGAATCTACCCTTGGGTGACTGTCTGTGTTGAGTTTGCACATTGTCTCTATGGGTTTCCTCTGTATGCTCTGGTTTCCTTCCACAGTCCAAAGATGTGCAGATTTGGTGAATTGGCCATGGGAAATGCAGGGTTCACAGGGGTAGGGTGGATCTGGGTGGGATGATGTGGACTTGATGGGCTGAATGGCCTACTCCCACACTGTGGGGATTCTATATGAGTAGGCGCTAAGAATGGTCCAAATTTGCAAGAATCTCCCAAATGCCATTTTTCTGCAGGAAGTAGTAAAATTTTAGCCTATTATTTAAGCCTCTTGCATTTAACATTTGCTTTCCTGTAGATTTCACCTGTAAAAGCCTGTGGCCACCCTTGCCCTTGACTGCAATTTCTTTTATTAGTGAAATTATTGACTTGTGCTAGTTTACTGTTCCATTATTAACACCGTCCACCAGTACATCACTCAAAAGTCTGTCACAGACTATGAGCCTAATGAGTTCCAGGCCGTACGATCATTAATGTATTACAACAATCCCAATCCTGATTTCTCCCCAAATCTATACATTTGTGTATTCCAGAGAGCAATTAGGTTTGGGCATCAGGTCTCCAGTTTAGCTCCTTACTTTGAATACTGAGATTAATTCTAGCATTGCTATTGCTGTCCTGTCAGTACATTTCAGGGATCCACCTGGAATCTTCCTTGCCTATAAAACTTACTATTACTGGAAGCTTTTTTTTACCCCTCAATAAATTAATACTTAGAAAAGCTACACATTTTAATTCATTGCTTTTTCATAAACATGGTTTAAAACAAAATTGAGGGAAACCTGGTTTGTAAGATTTTACTTGAAACTCTTCCTTTGGATAACTGATGAATTAGATTTAAAATATTGAGTGATACAGTCAGAAATCATAGGTAATGAGCTAGTGCCTTTGTTTTGGTGGGGGATGGGGCAGCAAACAGATCACCCCTAATTGATGTATTGTTATAGTAAGTGTTATCTTTGTCGTGTTATTACACAAGTATTGCATTCAACATGTTACAGCCGATTTTATAAACAACCAAAGAGGAATTAACCTTGCCACCTTAGACACGTTAACAATGTTGTGCGATAGTTCAAAAATACACCTCACTGGTACATTAAGGATTAGATGATTAGTTTTACTTCAAGGTAAATATGCTTTCAGATCATGCTTGTTCATCTTTCCTCAGATTAATGTGTTCCTTGGAAAAAAAATGTAATGTTCCATGTAAATTCTGTAAAAGTGCTGCAGTGAAACCTCGCACAGGCTGACAACTAAAGATGACAGTTTTTCACTGTTGTATTTCTGCTGTCATCTGTTAACAAGGTGCACTTTATATACAGTGCAACATTTTAAGCTAAGTGCAAAGGAATTGATTGTGGAGTTCATTGGATTTTTTTAAGCCTAAACTGCATTTAAGATCTTAACCCTCAAGGTTTTAAGCAGTGGCACTGCATTTCCACTGTATGTGTTACTCTTTCTTGAGTTGTGTCTGTTTTTGGAAACTTTGTAAACTAGTAAAATAAATCAATCACTGGCATTAGTTTGATTTGTAAGCAGTTTTAGCATCTATTTTATGTAGGCTTAAAAGATAATGGTCCTAATTTTAACCTCCTTCTGGTGGTGCAATGAAGATTTTGCCTCATGCAGTGACATTTGGCATTATCATCTATAGAAAAGTTCTATTAATTTCCTAACGTGCAGGTAACATTAATAAATACTAGTTACTAGTTCTTAAAATATATTTAAAGAAAAACACTGTAAAAAAAAAGTTGGATGGGTATCTAGTGAAAAGAAGTTAGATGAATGATCGTATGGAGACAGTTTTTTACTCTGTCTAGCAGTACCTGTGGCTAGTGTTTGTGTGTAGTAGATTGGACCATGCACAGCAATAATTTACACACAGTTTGTGAGCACCTTAAAATCTCAATTGATCACAAGTTAACTGGATTGATCCACATCTTTGCATTGTCATTGCACCAAGTAAAGGTTAAAATAGTGTCCAATATCTAAGCATATTGTTTATATAGGAACTAAGGGA